ATTTCATTACCCCCTAAGCTAATCAAATATGTACACTCCATATTTTCCTTACCAGCATTCCAGGAATAGAGAGTTTAGAAACAATGATGATATGTATTGTTTACTTCCTATATTCCAGTGGAGCCAAGAACTCCACGTTATCACCTCTAATCCAGGTGAAATTCTGACCACAGGTTAGTCTAGAAGTGAGAGTATAGTTTTTCCAGTTTGAATCATCTATGGAGACTGTGGAGGTTCTTGCATTCTTTAATTGGTTTTTTGTTTCCACATCACTCTAAATGTATATTTCATTATAGATGGCAACACGTATTATTGATTGGGGATCAGTTTTTGAGTTTCAAGATGCTATGTGAAGATACTGAAATGAATATCTTATTCCCATCTAGCCCCAGTATAAAATTTAAGAACTAAGAACACATTATTTGCTTTTTGTTAGAGACATTCAGCTTATGCGGTTAACCACAGTGTTTACTAAAAGAGGCAGAATGATGAATTTTAATTAGTTATTTAAAAAATCTATTTTTAAATATTTATTAATTCATTATTTTAAAATTTAAGACTTTCTTTCAAAATTGATTGCAAACATTTTATAATTGTAATTTTTTTACTTCGTTATACAATTTTAAAACATTTTTCTCTTATTGTTCAAATAAAAATTGTGTGTTTTTAGAAGCTATGTTTAATTTACTGTAAAATCATTAAACTCTTTAATGAAATAATGCTTTAAAAAGGCATAGCAGGTTTTCCGTTTATTATGTAAATGATATCTTTTTACATATTTTTCCTATGTTAAAAAAGAATATATTAATCCAATCAAATAAAGTTGTCAGTCTTTTTTAGGAGCTGATAATCAGTTGTTTAACAATCTTTTAGAACTTAAGTCCTGAATGTTTTAACATCAGACTGTGAAATAAGGCAGAATTCAAAGGTATTTTATGTTCTTCATGATAATCTAGAATTTTTATTTGATTCCAGGTAACTTTGGACAATAGACATGATGGGATTCTTTTTTTTGTAATTAACAACTTATAACAAATGATTTTGTAAATAACAATTTAATTACATCATTGAAATAAATAAAATATAGTGTGGGCTTAATACATTGTAAATATTACGGAAGTACTACTTTGCTATAGTAATTTAATGACTGAAGCTACATTGAATAACAATCTTACTAGTACTTGTGTACAAAGTATTATACAGATTACTAATGAAGATATTGCAGCGGTTGCAAGGATGTTACCAGCTCAACGAACATCTAACAATACAATATTCTTCTAAGAGGAAAAGTAATAATGTTAGATTTACAGACAATGAAGAGTTATGTTTTCCACTTGAAACATTGGAAGTAAGAATCCAGATAGTCCAGTATCTTGATTTATATTATTACAAGAAAAGGCTTCCTTTCTTGGGGACTTCAAACCCCAGCAGGCCTAGCACACTAAGTTTATGTGAAGATAGCTTTTAGAATGCCACAGCCATGTAAAGAAACTCTTCTAGCTGAAAATTACTGATTTATAGGCCACTGCTGAAACATCTGACTTTTTTTAAAACCTATTTACATACATTCAGCCCAAATCAGTAGGTAAAATGTTTTGTATATATTACAACAGACATTGTTAACATTTCATCAGAAGGCCAGTGCAAGACAATTGTTAATAGCCATTGCCCAGCATTTAGGAGATTTTAACATATCATACAAATATACAGTTAGATTGTGAGAAATCTAATTTTGTGCATGATATTGGTGGTCTCTTTTACAGATGTGGAATGGCAGAAGTTAATCAACAGGCCAATAACTAGGATAATACTCATCCAGGGCCTGACTCTCATCTGGCAGTTGGCCCTATTTCCTGCAGTGTGAGTTTAGGAGGCCAAAATTCCTCGACACTTAAATGCCAGATAGACTTGACTCAAAGTGATGGGGAGACTTGGGAATCATCTCAAATGTAGACATATGTCTGCAGCTTCTCCCAGATCCATGTGTCTTTTACATATATTTCATATGTAATGGAAGATTAGAGGTTCTTGGAAACTTCCCTCTTTGTCAAAATAAAACTGTGGGTCTAGGACTGACATGTTTATCATTACTCTGAAGAAATTGAGCAGGTTGGAAATTTGGCCCTTTCTGAAGACATATGTGATGGTGAAATGAATGTCAGGACAAATATATTACCCTCAGAAGAAAGTAGATAATTTTGGAGTGAAACTTCATAAAACTTACTGAAATCTAAGTTATATTTAAATTAATGGTCTAATTAAGGAATCATACTAATAAGTGGTAATTAATGAGTATATTCACGGGGAGAACATTTGAGTAATGGGTTAAGAAATGTTAAAAGTGTCAAAGTGAATCAAACTAATTTAAATGTTGTAAAATGTAGTGTAACATATACATAATATTTCACAGATATTTCTTAGAATATCAATAAGCACCAAGTCTAGTGCTATCAGCCCCATGGTCCCTTAATTTATTATATATGATTTAGATCCTGAAAGCACAATACACTATAAAATCTACATTGCATACACACAAATACAGTTTCAAATATGAATCCTGGAGTTTTTCTACCAATAACTAGAACTTCATCTTCACCAGGTCTTCATAGCTATAAGAAGAAAGTTGGTACTGCCTGGAGAGCTCTGGGACATGTGGATTAATAGTCAAAATAATGCGGGACAAGAGTGGCCTTTCTTAAATGGAAACTAGGTTGTGGTGAGTTGTTGTTGTTGTTGTTGTTTTAAATAAATAATCTCTTCTCCTTTTTCTGAAGAGATCTTATTAATCCTCTAGCACCCTAAGCCCTCATCTGCATACCACAGAGAGGTAAAGTAAGAGATCCAGCAGGTGGATTCCAGCTGTATAGACAAATGATTAAAAGTATCCCAGCTTGGTCCACAGGCTACATTCAGCCTTAGAACATATGCTGCAAGAAGACCCCAATAGGCTGTGTAAGTATTTAACACCTAAAAATCACCAGAAAAACTAGCTCTCCACTTCATTTCATGTAATGCAGGCCTCTGGATCCTGCAGGAGCCATGTTCTATCTGCATAAGGAGAAGATTTTAAGTAAAGTTTGTTAGAGCCAAATAGTTTCTTAAGCAACATCAATGCTTACTAGGAAAGGGCCTAATTCAGAGCACCCATGGCACCATTAAGGAGTAAGAGACTAGGGTGTAAGAGGAAAGAAAGCCATGCTCATTGTCATGCTTTAGCAGATCTTAATAACCAGGAGCAGAGGTGAGGTCTATTCCTTAGCTCAAACCTATCCAGACAAAGCTGGTGATGGGTTGTCCCCAGGGGGATCTGAGTGAAGCACAGAGGCAGCCATATGTCATCCAGGCTTCAATCACAAGTGTGTCAGCTCCTCACTGCCCTTTTCTGTCTGATAGGCCTCCTTAGCCACATGGGCCAGACCTGGTCATCCTATTTCCACAGGCGGTGTATACTGCTCCTTAAACTAGGATCACACTGCCTACAAATATAACTGAAAAATGTTACCACTGAAGGTCTTTTAGAATCACTTTCCTATAAGGACTTATAGTTCCATGGGCTCGATTGATATTAGGTGCTCAGAAGCCAAAACACTCTCATTTCCTGACATTTACACTGTAAATACAGACCTTCACTTAAATGTTCATTACTGATTTTTCCTTGCTAAACATTGGTCTTGTGGAATACCTAAAGGTCGATTTCGTAACACTTGTCCCAATCTCTTAAAGGTGGGTGGGGGTGGGGGGGATTCTGAATGTTTATGGTCAGTATTTTTATCAACAAGATTTTGGATGAACTCAATTTTAGAAACTGAATTCATGTACAAGAGTGCAGCAAGTGGTACAGTTTACACTTGGTCACAGTTTTCTCACTTTATGACATTACTGTAACAGTTACAGAATAGAAATACGCACATACACACATTTATATTCACACTCACAGTATAATTTTACTGATCCAGACAATATTTCTTTTCAATTAAGAAAAAAATGAAGACTGTTGTTTGGCCACCCAGGCATGAAATCTACTTAAACCTGGAATATAGAAATACAATACTCTTCAAGTAAACAGCAATTGCACAGTGATAACAATATACATTAAGATTGACACATGCTGTCTTAAGAGGTCCAGTAATAGCTAAAGACTAAAGAAAGTCAGAGATGTCAGTCAAAAAAGTCAATATGCTTTCTCTCTTTTATTCTAATTGCAATCCATCACCCAAGAGAACAGCTATAGTCCAGAAGATAATAAATGTCCTCATATGAAAATGCAGAGCTAATAAATTTTTAAGTGTCAATGAATTCTGCTCAATACTTTGAATAGTCTTCAAATTCTTCTTGTTGTATTAACAGAAAAATAAACCTTTACGGTTATTTCCAATGTCAAATTTAAATAGAGATGTTTGAAAAAATATTAAGGTTTCTAAAGTTATATCATGGGCAATACTTTTTTAAAAAGTGGTCTCATTGGCATATGTCCACTGCTTATATTCATTGTTTTCATAAAATTCTACTTTTCAGTTTTACTGAACTAGACAAATATAAACAACACATAGTAAACACTGATACACATTTTACGGGACACAATACATTCTATAAAACAGCTCTACTTCAGTACTATAACTGATGTGAAAATGGACATCTCTGATACTGATGGATAAACACATTTCACATTATAATGAAAGTTGTGGTTACAAAGGCATTACTCACTTGATGGCATTTTTCTATTGGTACTTAGACTTAAAATTATGTAGCCAAAGGTTTCCCTCCTATTTCGTTGAGACTTTGAAGGACCTTCCAGTCACTTAAGCAAAAAGCTTTCTTCACTGTAAACCCCTGGAGAACTGAGTTTGAGAACCTACACTATTGAAGTGTTAGAGAACAGACAACTGATCATGGTGACAATCGCTTTTTCAGTGCGCATAGTAAACTTAAAAAATATAACCGATGATATGAAAGACTCTTCTAGATTTTGAGCTTTAAAAAAAAAAAAAATGAACTTCTTTTCCTGTGCTGCTAGGGAGGCGTCAGGCTCACACAGCCTCGGCAGACGTGTCTGTGGACACAGACATGGTCACCTTGGCGATCTTGACCGTGCTCTTGATGCAGCTCTCTGCAGCCCTGTGAACACTGGCTGCATTGTTTGCATGTTTGTGCAGGCAGTCCGAATCCCCCATGCTGTTATCAAGAGGCTGCGCGGTGCCTTCACACGAGGGGAACATACTCCGGAAAGCATGTCTCAGGTCCTTGCTCCTCAAAGCATAGATGATGGGGTTCACGGTGGAATTTAGGAGGCAGAGCATACTGCAGAATGCAAACACTGTCTTAATGAGCTTGTTCATCTTCCCAAAGACGTCATACACCATGATCGCAAGCAGAGGGCCCCAGCAGATAATTAAAACCACAAGGATCAGGACCAGGGTCTTGGCCAGCCTAATGTCCATGCGGGCTTGATCTGGCCGAGTCACCTGTACCTTGCCGTCCTCTGATGTGTGGATGATGATGCTCTTCTGGGTGCCGCGCTGAATCATGCGGACCGCGTGGCTGTGAGCCTTCCAGAGAATGTACATGTAGGCGTACACGATAAACAGCAGCAGCACACTGGTGACCCCGATCCAGAACATCAGGTAGGTTTCGTCAATGAGTGGGAAAATATCTGAGCAAACGGATTGCAGCTTCTTGCAGTTCCAGCCCAGGAGAGGCAGCACAGCGATCACGATCGCTATGGTCCACATCAGGCAAAATGCTACCACGGCCTTGGGCCTAGTGACGATTCTCTTATAGGCCAGGGGCCTGTGAATAGATATGTATCTGTCGATGGCTGTGAGGAACAGGCTGCCCACCGAGGCCGTGAAGGAGGCCGTGACACCGCCCAATTTGAACAGAAACACATTGGGGCTATCTTTGCGGTGGAACACGTGGAAGTCAACGAAGCTGTAGACAAAAATGACACTCCCCAGGAGGTCTGCCACTGCCAGGCTGCCGATGAAGTGGTAAGAAGGCCTGCAGCGGAGACTGCGGGAGTGGAGGATGACACACAGCACCAGCAGGTTTTCCAGGACCGTGAAGGTGCCCAGTGTGAGGGACAGCACGGCGATGGCCAGTTGCTGGCTGGGGTTCAGAATCATGAAGCACTCCATGTCCATGAAGTTCTCCCCACACTGAATGTTCTCTCCATTTTCTTTGTAGGATGAAAGAGACTTATTGTAAAATTCAGTCATGTTCACTTGGTCTGCTGGGACCAGCTGGGGGTTGTCTCCTGCAGTCATCTTTTCTTGGAAAGGACTTCCCCTAAAGGAAGTCAGAGGAAATTTCTGTGGGAAGTACCCTAATTTGGATGCCATGTCGCCTTTGATATCTTCGTACTGAATGTCATTTGAGCCCACATACAGGAGGTCTGTGGTGATGGTGCGGAAGGTCGTATCTGCAAGGCCATCTAGGATCGACTTCATAACCTCCGTCTTCGATTAGGCCAAACTCAAAATGACTGAGAAAGAGACCCGCAGCAGGGAATCCTAACAGAGGGAAAACAAATAAGCTGAATGGTGAGAAAACTAGGAGAATTTAAAAAATAACAATACAATGTAATGAGTACCATCATGTTATTTCATTCCTGTCTCTGAACACAGGTAAAATCCTTGTAATATGCAGTCAACAAAATGAGTTAGTTGCTTAGTTAAAGAAAAGGCAGCTGAAAGTTTGTGATGTGGCACGTACCAGAAACACATTTCTTTCCTTATTTAAGCTCTTCAGATATGTCACTGTATGAATCCTGTATGGACCTCTAGGGTCCATTAGTCAAGTGAAGAATGTATCTTGGGTATAGTGTGCATTTCACAGTCATGTCAGGAAGTGTTTACCACCTGGCTTCTACTGTCACACACATACTGGTGGGGGACAGGGGAAGCAACATGTCACACAATCTCTGCTCTTGAAGACATTATCACCTTGTCACACAGGTAAGACTGAACTTGCAAGACAACCAAAGAACAAGAAAGTGTGGAGTCAGGGATTGAGTCGTGCAGCCTCTGTATTGACTGTATAGGGGGTTGGAAGAGACTGCAGAGAACCAGAAGAAGCATGTGGCCATGGTGGGAAAATCCAGCTTCCAGTCCTGGCTCCATCAGGCAAATTTCCTCACCAAGAGGAAACATTTGGACTGAGCCATGGCTGAGATGAACTTCTAAAATGTCTACACCAACCAAGAAAAATGTCATGTCATGAAGGACAAACTTGCACTGAGGCTCATGGAAAGACCAAGATCTTTATCACTGGAAAGGAGTGATGACAGACAGTACTTCTTGGCAGCGTCCCCATCAGTGGTGTGGTGACACAAGCATGCTGGAAGACAGGAGACAGACCTCATCATCTATGTGGATGGCACTGGAAATAAGGACGACTGAGAGGAGAGGCCAAATTGTAAGAGCTCTTCAATTATAAGCTAAGCAATTTTGTTTTGTTTCAAAATCAACAGCCAGAAAATTTTACTGTTTGTAAATGTTTGTTTATAATGTGGCCATTGGGGTCTTTAGCTCATAAAAAATATTATAAGTGCTGAGTGATATCTATAATAATTAAAATAATTATATAATTATTTAATATAATAACTAAATAATAAAACCAATATTTTATTTATGGTCTTTTTGTTGTTTCTAAAAATATTATACTGTACTACAAGGAAAAAAAAGATAGTCATTATCTTGGAACAAATTTAAACATGCTAAATATAGACATCCTACCTATCTGAATTAATAATTCATTTATTTGTCCATTCAACAAATTATGGAGCACCCACTATGTTCCAGGCACTGTACTAGGCACCAGGGGCACAACTGCATCAAGAAAGAGTTCTTGACCACATGAAGTACGGTGTAGCAGAGACAGGCAGCTGACCCCATAATTATGAGAAAGTGTGGTGACAGCTACAATTGGGGACATATAGGATGCTGTGACAGCAGCCAATCTATGGGGTTAAAGGTAGCTTCCCCATGATGTTTATGCCAAGAGTATGTAGAATTAGTGTGGATGGAGACAGGGCATCTTATCATTTAATCCTGAGTTAATATATTTATTACCATAACTAGAACGGGATTTCTACTTTGTCTATTTTTTTATGATTTTTTTTATGATTTCTATATTGTCTATTTTTCTTATATGATTCACCAGCTGACAACATGATAGCAGATGAGGAAGAGAGCTGAACTCTTAGAAATAGTCACATAAACCTAATAGGTGACAGTTGAATTTTATTAACTGGTATATAAAAGCAGTAATTTAATAATATTTACTGGCCTTTTCTTAAAATTTGAGGAGAGAAAGGTAATTAATTCAATGGATATTTCACTCGAAAACCAAAGCTCGAGGCCAACAATTTACAAGCTGCTACCTAGAGCCAGTCCAACCCATCTTCTCTCAAGTAACTAACTCTTCCTTCATACTTCCCAATTGAAAACTAATTTATTTGAAATTTATATTATTCATATTATTACATTCAAACTATTCAAAATTCAAAAGATAAAAAAGGTACAGGAGAGTCAATCTCTCTCATTCTGATGTCCCAGCCAACTAGCTTTCCTGCTCAGAAGCAAAAAGTTTCTTATTGTGCCTTCCAGAAGTGTTCCATGAATATTCAAGTAAATACGTATATTCATTCCCCCTTTACTTTCTTTTTAAACACAGTGTTCTGTACCTTGCTTTTCCACTTAAAAGACAATTCCACGGTAGTCCACAAAGCCTCCCTCCATTTGGCAGCTGCCTTAAGTAGCCTTCAGATGAATGTGACCAGCCTCCTACTGATGGAGGTTTAGGTTGTTTATCATCTCCTGCTGTTACCAATAATGCTGCAATGAATTACCTTCAGTCATTACAGTTTTCACATTTCTCATGTTATTGTGAATAATCTTTCTATTCGTCCAAGCTCATACTTTGGACTTACCCCAGAACGCCTCCTCCTTCTTGGCCTCTATAATCAGATAGACAACTAAGTCTTGCTGATTTTCCCTTTTTAAGCACTTACGGAGAGCTTATGATGTGCATGTGGCATTCTTATATGTATCAAATTGTTTATTTTCACGTTGGTCGTGTGAGGTGAGTGCTGCTATTAGCTCCATTTTATAGACAAAAGTCACAAAGAGGGTAAGTGATTTGCCATTCACGCAGCTAGTAGGTAGCAGAGCCAGAATGAACACAGATGTTCTAGTTCTAGAGCAGTGTTGGCCAATGAAAATGTAATGCGAGCCACATGTGCAATTTTAGTTCTGTCTCTAGGTAAAAAGGAAAATGTAAAAGGAGAAATTAATTTTAATAGCATATTTTATTTAACTCACTGTTTCCAAAATATCATCATTTCAACATGTGGAACTAGCCACATTTCAAGTGCTTAACAGGCACATGTGGCAAGTAGCTGCCATATTGGACACTACGGGTCTGGAGCTGCTTTTATCCTTTATGAGACACCATCTCTCTAACCTAAGACAGGGATGTTCCTATCTCCTTCTTTTCCCCACTGATTCCAACCAGTCAAGGCGCTAGCAACGGAGGGAACACCGAATTAGAAATTAGCAGACCAAGATTAGCGTTAGACCCGTGTTAGTCTTTCAAAATCTCAGTATTTCATCTGTAAAATGGGAAGGCAGAGGAAGAGGAAGAAGATCTCTAAATCATAGAATTATTCTGAAAATTAAATATTTAAAAAAGCGCTTAACATAGTGCCTGGCACAAAATTGACCTCTTAATAAATATTATTATCATTTCTTAGTACTATGGCTCTTTGCCATATATTATCAATTATGTATCAAGATAATTCATTGCCTTAATTACATTATAGGCATTACATTACATTATTTGATTTTTATTTCTGTCTCAGCACTTAAAGCATGATGCAAATAGAAGATATACACATGGTTAAGGGAGGAGGAATGTCATTTGTTATATTGCAGGCATTTGAGAGACTACATATATTCTATCATTAAATCGTCATTACAACTCTATCAGGTGCTTATTTATAATTCCCATTTCACAGACAAGGAAATAGAGGCCATTAGATATAAATTGTCTAGAATATGAAAAGTTTGTAGCTGAACTGATGTCTCTCAGACTTCGGAGTTTCTGCCTTTGGACTTTATGTACTGTTTTAAGTATTAACAGTAACTAGGATAGAGCCATTTTGTATTGTATATCCAAGTCTTCTAGCTTCTTACAAACACAAATTGAAGCATTTTGTCAATACATAGTAATTAAGACTACCTCCTACTAAATCACTATTTCCTATCCCAGCCCCTCAAGGTGGATCTGCCTACTGGCATGCCCTCAAGGACTTAAATTTTAGTATTTGGAAGAGCTATGAAGTGGAAAAAATAAAAAGGACCACAGACTATTTCCATAATGCAAAACTCATGTGCCTATGATTTACTCTACATTACGATCACCACATACATGATCATAATTTCCCATCTTAATGCAATCAAGAATTTTCATTAAAATAAACTAGCTTGTTAAAATCTGAGCCAGAGCATGATGTGGTTATGAGATATAAAGTAATTTCTGTCCAGTATAAGCCAACTTTAATTAAAGAATACAGTTAAAAAATATACATGGATTTTGTGCAGTTCAAGGATGTCAGTAATGTCCAAGTACCACAGTGCACAAGCTATTTTAAGTTAATGGGATCATGGCAGGGAAACCGTTCTCTGCATTTCAGTAATTCTTGCCTTTATTTCTACATTTGGATTATTACGGTAATTTCCACCTGCTTATTTTTTTTTATCGAGAGTTTTCTCTGAGAGTTCATTAGTAATATAGTTTAAGCTTTGGGGGATACAGCTACCATTAATTTTGTTTTTGTTTGCTACTGGGAAAATCATAATTGGAAATTTCTAGCAAGATGCGTAGATATACCTATTAAAGAAGCAGTTGGTTTTTATTACAGTTATAGTAAAAGAATGATTGAATGACATTTAAGGGGATTTTCCTAGAATTCTGCTTTCATATAACAAACATTCTAATAATTTAAGCTATAAATCATGCCTTCTTAATAACAATAAAAATATTTTAATGTGTTGCGTACCTGTTCTTTTTGTCTCTCTATATGCATACCTGCCTGTCTACCACCCCCAAACTTATACATCAGCTAGCAAGCTATGGTATCATCAAAGAAATTTAATGGATATGGAACCAACATGGAGTTTTTTTAAAGTCTACCCAGCGTCTATATATTTGTTTCTATAACCATTAAGGGTATAAAACATCTGTATTCTGATTACGGTGAGCATTGAGAAAATCTTCAAAACAAGACTTCAAATAGCAGCTTTTCTAGATCGGTATAATTTAATAGCAGGTTATTTTAGTCTTCATTGCCCAGCTGGAGACCTTTGTTTTAGAGAGACATTTCAATAATTTAGATATTAATCACTGTTCTATCTGGAATAAAAATTCTTGCAATTCTGGCCTGTACAGTATCTCTGGGGGAACAGACAGTAGGCAGTATTTGATTCCTGCAGGTTGCCCTGTCCAAGAA